ACCGCGGATTCTCGGCGATCATCATCCGAAACGGCTGTAGCAACGTACTGTTCTTTGCGCTCCGCGACCCGCTTGCCGTCTTCTTCACCAGTCTCGTCCTTCCGGCCGATTCGTCGCCATCTGCGGCGGTCACCCCCATTTCACGCGTGGCTGGTCACTTTGTGACCGGTGCACTTCTAGGTGCCATTTTATCGACCTTGTTTTATCCCGTGAATGTAGTCAAGATACGAATGCAAGCATCGATCGGCGGCACGTTCCCTCGGCCACTGACTGTACTGAAGCAGTTGTTGGTCGAACGAAGTTTCAGCGTCAGTATGCTTTACCGCGGCGTTCATCTCAACTACACGCGCTCTATGATGACGTGGGGAATAACGAATGCGGCATACGAGTTTCTGAAGAGAAGTCTATTTCCCGGCCCATGCACAGACTGACTTTGTACGGCTCACAGTCGATTCCTCAATCGATGCTGCTATGCCGACCGGTACTCGACGTCGCCGCCATAACTAGTAAAACGTTTAATGACTTATCTGCAGTCCAAGCAGGTCGCTTGTGATCATAGTATAATTCGCCTGCTTTGTAAATTATCTTTCATGTTTGATTAGTGTACGTGGATCATGAACGACTTTAACTGATAGTTACTGTTTGACGTGCGTTACGTTTTTCGTTTCGCCAATGAAATTTATGCATCAATCACTTCATCTGGTCAGTATTCACCAGTACAGTGCAAATCGAGCGTACTGCAGCTTTTAAGAGACCATCAGACACAGGCCAAAACGTCGCCGTACAGTCCCTCAACAGGATTAATCTTCATTCTACATTGCACATTGTTGAATCATCCATCTTGTATTTGCAACATGATCGACGTGCACATGGGTGTTGAAGGTAAATCTGATACTTATGTGGCTTTAGGTTGTTCAGATACATGTTAAAGATATTACGTTTTCATTAATCACCTGCATCATATTTCGCACAGTACATCAACTCCTCTGACATGCAGTATTTGAGAAAAAACTAATTACATAATACGTAAAGCAGCAAACCACAGATGAAAGGGTTTCGACTGTATGTTGGGATACGATTCACAGTGGAGAGAAGTCGACCTTGAACTGCCGAGGCGCCGAACTGTAATCAGAAAAAAACGGTTCTCTTCATCTTCTATGGCTGCTTCTCCTCCCGGGTCACTCGCGGAGTCAAAGGCGTCAGACAGTGCTTCCAACGTTCCCGATCCTGTGCCAAAGTCTGAGCTTCGGCAAAAGACAAATGGAGTCTGGAATAGACTCCTTCCATATGTTTGCACCAGGTTAATCTTGGCCGTCCTTTGGGCCTTGTGCCGGTCGATTTGGCAAGAAACAATTGCTTCGCCTTCCTTTCTGGAGGCATTCTCAACACGTGCCCAAACTATCGCAGCTGTTACTTCTCAGTCTGAAGAAACAGT